ATGCCCCCTCAAACATCCTCGGATGGTCCTCCACCCAGGTATCTTGTCACCGTCTTGATGGTCTTGTCAAACACGTACGCATCTCCTCCACCAAAACAGTGGACTACCATTGGGAGCTGCTCCGCATCGTATTGCAGCAGCTGGTAGAGGAGGTACGAGCCGGCATTCATCGACTTCCCAATACCGGGCGTCCCAATCAACACACGCCTCTTGGGCTTAAAGTCGGTCCCACCGTGAGGGCTGAACCACGCGGTTGGATCATTCCTGACGATCTGCCACACTCGATCCACCTCACAGTTTACAAAAACGTCCTCAGGAAGATCCTGTATCGTATTCCACGAGTACGGCCATCCCCTCTCCGAGGCAAGCACCATCAACACGGGAGGTGCCGCACCGAATTGCTGCACAGCGTCATTCTTTTCGATAGCGTCGTCAGCTTCCCTTTACGACCATGACTGTTCTGGCTTCCCCTCATGCACCCCCATTCCCGTCCCCGTTTTCTTTCGCTCCACGCCGTCCGGAAGTTCCACCGCATGGCTCCGCCTCGCATTGTGCAGAGACTCGTAGCATCCCTCCAGTTTCTCCGGTGCGCTCGTCGTCGTTGGGTTCCTCGCCTCCTCGGCAGCTGCATCCAAGAAGTGTTTGGTGGAGTTATGAGCAGTTGCTTTTACCTCCGCAGCAGCTTCTGACCACCCCGGTAGGTTGTTGACACCCCTATCGCATAGCCTGCGTGTATCCTCATCGAAGATCACTTCACCCTTTGCAGCTCGCCTCATACCCAAATAATGACCGAATGCCTGCATTTCGTTCAGTGCTCCTTTATCACGGATATACTTCGTGGGGCCCTTGGAAAACTCCTCCAACAAGACATCCCGAATGGTGTCCACAATGCCCCTGCCGTCCAGTTCCCTCGTAAGAAAGTCGTTCAGCTTCATTTGATTGACGCGAGCTCTTCCTTTAAACAGTACCTCTTCGATGTTAGTGGAAATGGTAAATTTCATTTCTTGCGTTCCTCTTATTCTTTCCGCTGCCTCCCGCCTCGCTTCTGTCAGCACCTGCGTGAGTACTCCGTTTGGTGTTCCCCTTGCAAGAGGAGTGATCGTACCCTTTTCCTTCACAGTCCCTACGTCGCCCGAGAAAGTACACACCTTCGTGAAGAGGCTTATTAATGGCCTCCAGCGCTTGGTGCGCAGCTAAATTAAGAATTTCTTCAGGAAGCCGCTGGTCTTGTACGTAATCATCCGGCTCCTGAACAAACACCTCCATCGTCACATTGTAGTCTTTCATAAACAGCCGCCCTGCCGCCAACATAATTCCAAAGGAAATTACTCAGCCTCATGTTGGTGCCGCTCATGGTCCACTGCGGCCACACTTTACTCTCCACTACATGTCGAGCTGCAGCGACAGAACCATCACAAGAGCCACGGCGAGGTGCCATCACAACATCCGTGCGGTGAGGCATCCCACTCGCACCGCCAAACTGCGGCCAGCAGGTGCCGCTGGCTCCAAAGGACACTCGCGGCTGTCTCGTCTCGCAGTCCCAATGGCGTTGGGCGTGGCACTCGCACGGCGGGGCGGTCGGTGCGTCATGCAGCCGCACTGCAACGCCTGTCGGTGAAGCAGTCGAGGCCCACCGCCCCCGAAGCAACGCAACGTGCAATCGGCCACAACACCGCCACATTATCGCCCTTTTTTATTTTGTTTTATTCACGTTGTCTGTCTGTTTGCCCCATCACTCACACAAAAAATAAGTGCACACCTTCACAAAAGGGAAGGAACAAAGAAAAGGAGGCACGATCCCACCGTCCCGCCGCGGATCAACACTCTCCTCCACCCACCACCATTGCCGCGCAGGAGACCGCAGTCACATCGCAGAGTCAACACCACAATGTGCACCACACCATCGTGCAGTGAACGATGGGCGAGACGCGGCCATGCATCGCCCCGCTACATTTTCCCACCACTCAAGTATTGCGTGCCCGCACAAAGTAGCAAACACAATCAGAGTGCACACAAACCCAATCAACACCCTCACTCGCTGAAGTACATTATTCGCATGGAGTGACAACATTTGGGGACACACCAGCAGCAGCAGAAGGCATGGAATCTCCCTGCCAGCCCTGCGAAGAGACACAACAACTCTGCGGAGTAAAGTGACAGCCCCGCGGTGTTGTCTGCGGTTCGCATGGCAGGAAGAATCCCACGCACGCATAGTTCCGGACACCTCGCTGTTTGAGTGCCCAACAGAACATGTGAAAAAAATACCTGCGCGCAAGATGGCATTTAAACACGTGAAAAGTCGGCCTGCTTTCTCCGATGACGTCGGCGAGCAGTCCCACACAATCCAATCAAGGTAGCACGCCGGACAGAATGGCGTCCGTCAATCAATAAAAAAATGCGACACTGAAAAGGAGCAGAGAAGACTTGGCGCATGCGATTGCCAGCGACAACTGTGAGCAAACCCGCCAGCACCAACTGAGGTGCCGAGGAGCACGCTTGTGTAAAACTGGCCGTCAGGCAGAGAGGACAAATAAAACAGGAGGGCAGCAAACCCTCTCGTTCAATGTCTCCTGACCGCGACGCCAGAATCAAAATATCATGGACGATAAGAGCGGCAACGCCTTCTCCAAAACATCTTGTCAAGAAGCCGCAGGACCTCAGTAAGGGAGAAAGGCAACGGCGGCGGCCACAGCGGGGGAGGCAATAAAACGGATGGCAGCCACCTTCACGTCGACGCGCACAACGCATCCGAGTGGGCTGGGAGCACAGACCGGACCGCTCGGAAACACACGCATCAAATACGCGAAACAAAGTCGCAGTGAATCGACAGGAACTCCCCGCCCAAAACAAATTTAAAAAGTGGCGTTTTTGAGAACAAAATCCGCCTTTCCGACGACGGCACGTACGCCTCGCAGAAATTTCTTGCAAATCTCCCTTCGCAGGTCCGCAGGAAAACGCAGCGGAATAAAAAGAGAGCGCAACGACGCAAAAAAAATAATCCTCCTAACCGACCAGGTGGCAGGCTGCCCTCGCTCAAGTGGACAAAACACAACTTCACTCCGGCCTTGCGGTGGTGGTCGTCTCGCAACTATTTTTTTTCTTTTCCCCGCAGTGCACATCCCCCTCCCACAAATCATTTGTTCGAGCCATGTTCCTGCGGCCAAACATCGCGCTGCTGGATCCCGCGGCACAGTCCTCGGCACAGAAGTGAGGGAGGAAGAGGGACCGCAGAAGGTGCGAGCAAATCCGAATTCGGTGGCGGTCGCTGCAGTGAAGACTGACGTCCCACGCGGTGTCCCTTTCTAGGTCCGGCCCTCACCGCGCCATGCGCTCAGCGTGCGGTGCGCCGGCCGCTCCAAACATCCACACGTGCTTGCGTCTCACCGTCGCTCCCAGTCCCGTTCGTTGGCTGCATCAGGAATGCCGCCATCCGGAGACGGGCATAAGGACGTTGCATCCAACAAAACCTTCAGAGGCACCCGCTGGGCCAACGACGCCCATCACTGCGGGATGTGTGGCCCCTCCGCCGCTCACCTCAAATCGCACTTCTACGCCTCCTCGAGCAGCAGCAGCAGCAGCATAAATACACCGGTCCACTAGAGGCCGTCACCAGCCATTGCAGGAAGAACACTATGCCTCGGTGCTATGAAACCCAAACTGCATTGACGGGCCACTTCGGAAAACCCTGTCGCATCCTCCCCCATTATGCGGAAACACATCCGTCGTGCATGTGTCCACCGCAGCCAAATAATCCGGTCCAAATATCCTCCAAATCAAATTCCCCTTTCCTCAAGCCATTCCCTCATTCCATGCGCCCTGACCCTCATCCGCACGTGCCCACTCACACAAACCGCAAAAGAATGGTGGCCGCCCAACGCTCCGGAAACACATGCCCAGCACGCACGCGCATAACAAATGACACGCGCGAGCGCACGGCACAACGGCGGAGAAGCGCACACCGAAAGGATGCGGCCCTCCACAGCAGTCGCAGGAAGAGTGACTCACGGTGCGCGCTCCCTCTCCCCTCCTTCCCTTCGTGCCCACGGAGGAAGCAGCAGCCACACGCAACCGCCAGCACACGCCACAAAAGAAGCATCCAAATCCACTGCAATGTGCGTCTTGTGCGAGCATGTGGTTGTGTGTGCCTGCAGCAACACACGAAGCAAAGAAGTAAAAACAGGAGCAGAGTATGTGATGGGACGCACAAACAAAAATGTACAGCGAAGACGCATAACGGAAATAAAGAGAAAAAGACAGCTCAAGCTCATGATATTGCACTGCAGCCCAAAGCAGCGGCAATTCATTAAAAAATTAAATGAAAATAACTAAATAAAAAATCATCTTCATCCTTCCACAACTCACACTTTGGAAAGAATTTTTAAAAAAGAAAAAAAAAAGAAAAAGAAAAAGAAATCATCGGAGGGGAGAGAAATGCTCACGAGGCCGACACCGAAGGGTGCGCCACCGCATGAAATAAACACGCAAAGCAAAACAAATCCTTAAAGAAAAACACGGCGGCAGGGTGTGGCTGTGTGTGTCGCGCTGCGGGTGTCTGCCAGTCCTGGCCGCAAAAGAAAACAAAACAGGAGGGAAAGAAATGTGTGCTCCGCCCCACAGGCCCTCGCCGCACGCCCACACGTCACGGCTCCCTCAGCGCGCCGTTCGTCGCGGCCCCTCCTCATGCGTGCAGCAGGCGAGGCGCACAGGGCCGTCGTCGTGAGCGTGTCGGTGGGTGTGCGAGTGGAGCAGTTGGGCGGAAACACACGGCACCCCTCGCAGGAAGAGTGCAGCAACAAACAATTAAAGAGGGAAGAGTAGAAAAGAAAAAAGGATCTGAAAGAAAAAGAATTTTAAAACAGGAAAGTAGCAAACAGTAAAATAAATTTAAAATACGCTCAAAAAAGCACGAAAAAATGGTTGTTAGAAATATTCGTTCCCATGGGAATTGTATTTCTGTGCTGAGGAAGTCGCAAGTGTCCCACGCGGCAGCCAGTCACTCCTCACAGAGCCGCAAACCCCCACAGTCCCAACAGAAGAAGCAGCGGCAGCAGTCTGCTCCCACGCACAGTACACGCATCGCTGTTATTCCCCTGCGACACATTTCCGAGGCTGCTGCTGAGTGCCGCAGCATTTACTTCCCTGCCTTGTGAATGGATTCCCTCTCCCTGCACATCCGTTCCTTCCGCCGTCTCCCCATCCTCACCATCCTCACCAGAGCTCACACTTTCCTCAGGAGTTTGGGGTGATCCATTTCCCAGCATCGTATCCCCACTCCCTGTTGCCGCCTCTTGGGCAAAATCAGACGAGACAGTCGTAGCAGTGGAAGCTGCACTGGATAAAACGCCAGCACCAATATTCTCCTTCAACGGTTCGTCTTCCGACGGCTGTGGTTTCGCAGGAGACTGCAACATGGTTTCCGGCGCATTTTCGGTCATCGGAGACGTAATGGTGTCTTTATTCGGGTTTAGGGCGCCAATCTCTTCGGAAGTCCACGGGCGGTTGTACAGCAGGACGTTCGTCACAGTCACAGACACGCCTTCTTGGCTCCCTGCGCCGCCGGCACTGTTTCCATCCCCTCCGATGTAGAAGTGGGAGATTTCGTTCGGTTCCGTCACTTTCAATTCACATGGCGCATCACCCACACCCACACGCTGACCATCAACGTACGCGGAGCCCTGGCTGCCGTTCTGTAGCACAATGGCCAATTGGCGTGTTTTCCCTGGCTCCAAAGCGCTGCTAAGCTCCTTACGGTTTCCGCTACCGCACAGTAGCATCCATTTCTTCTCGTTGTTGCTGTACGAGAGTCCCAGGAGTACTGTATTCTCAGCACTATTCGTCTTCGCTCCCATCAAAGGAATGTGGGTGCTTCCCTCCGGCACCTTGTCGATGGACACCGTCGCCACAAGAGTGAAGTTGTAGTTCGCAAAGTGGTACAGCTGATTCTCCCCCTGCGCGCCAACAGGCCACTCCGCCCACGCTCCCGTGAACTTCACTCCGCCGGCATGCAATGTTGCCTTATCACCCCCATCATCATTGTTCTTCACTGTGGCGTTCACCCCGAGGTACTCGTCACTCCATGTGCCATCAGAGAAGTTGCCCGACAAAAAGCCAACCAGCCCATCCGTGATCCTAACAATAGGGCTGCAGGCATCGCCGGTTGAGGCATCCTCCACATCACTTGAGGGGCACAGCTTGGAGACACGGTCGTCCGCTTTCTTCCACGTCGCCAGCACCTCCTTCACACGCTGCAGCTGCGCGGTCAGAAGCACAGAGACCATACCGGGTGATGGTTTCTCATCGCCCTTCTTCTTCTTCTCGTACAGTGCAATCAACTCCTTCTTATCAGTTCCACCTTCAGCACTTTTGTACAGCAGGGAGCTGGCGGCAGCGTCATCATCGGATACCGGCCCAATATCAACAATGTGCGTATTGTCCGTCAGCCAAAGACGGAGTACGCCTTTTTCTCCATTGTCCGTTTCTTTTTTATCAGCCTTCTCGGAATACACCGGCAGAGTGACGAGCATCACATTTCTGTTATTTTCATCACCGTCAATCCTCGCTGTGATGAACCCGCTTCTAACGCCCTTCTCTCCTTCACCCTTTTTGTTGCCCCACACGCGCGAGAGTGTCCCGAGCGCCTCCGTCCACGACTCCCCCTTGTCACCGGACTCGTACACCCTGCGGCGGCCATCATCACACGCAGTCATCATCATGAGTTTTTTGTCCTTCCACTCCACGACGGAGGGATCACCGCAGCCACCGTCAGACATCCCCCTCGACAGATTCCAATTCTTATTAGTATCCTCCGAGGAGTATATGAGCAGTGAGACGGTCTTTCCGTCATTTGATCCACCCTTCTCCTTCTTCTTGCCTTCCACGGGGAACACAAGCATACCTTCCTCCATCTCAATACCCGATCCACCGCCGCCAGTCAGCCCTGTCCAGGAATCTAGTTCGCCAACAGAAATACGCGAGACACCGTCATTATCTTTCCATTTGATCCTTTTGCCACTACCACCTTCGTCACAGACGCTCCCTTGCACCAGCAATAATCCCCCGTCATTGGCAACTCTATCCTGATCAGAGGCAGCTGCCTGGCTGTATTTCCCAACAAGCATGTAAATTTCATTTCCCCTCATAACTGTTGTTGGTCGGCTCACATCCACTTTCTTCTTTGAGTCTGCGGAACCGTCTTCCTCCAGAAATTTTGTATCTTTTGGATCCTTCAGAACTTCCACCGGTGTGTTATCCTTTTTTTCCTCTGTTTCCGTGAGAAGTTGGGATGCAATGCCAGTAAAGCTGCCTTGACCGTTCTTCTCCTTGTTCTTCGCCTCGGCAACGGCAAACACGTCACTCCCCACTTTTAGAAGACCGGGAGCACCCAACGACTCCACAGTTACCCCACCACCCTCATCCTTGATGACTTTCCATTCAAACTTTTTTTGCGATGGCTGCACCTCCGCGTGAGCAACTCCTGTGCCGCAGCACATCATCACAAGAACGAGGAGAAGCACCGCAGAGCAGAAGAGATGCCGAGACATGTTGGGTCTCTGCGGCTCACTCTCTCTTCCTTCCCTCCTCCTTCCGTTGGATCCGGTCACGCGGCGACGGTTGGGTGTGCGGGGTGCCATGACTGCAGCAACACGTGAGAGCATATAAATATGTGTGGGCGGCGGTGTGTGCTGTTGGTTCTTTCAGTGCCTTCGAATTTCACAGTAGCGATTAGCGTTTAGCCTTACTTACTTTCCTTCTTGTGTGTGAGAAAGAGAGAGAAGAGGAAAAGGAGTGAAACAGTGAACACCGCCGCCCCTCCACAGTGAGTGGCATCATCATCCCCACCGCAGTGATTCCCAACAACAACAACTCACGCACACAGACACACGGAATGAGAAGGAAGAACAGTGCACCGGGAACACACAGCGACTGCCACCAGCAGTAAAAGCCACAGCGGGTGCTTCCGCCACTCGCTGCACCCTCTCCGCCGCTGTCGCACATCATCCCGCACAGCCGGGGGTTCTCTATTCGACGGATCCACAGAGGCAGTGACTCCATGGCAGGTGCAACTGCTGGACGGGAACCAATCCGCACTCGTCACAGGCACCCTCAACGCCACACCACTCACTGTCCGCACGCCGCCAACATTACGCCCGCAACACTTCGAAAGGATTCAACTCGCGGGCTCCCGTCCTCCTTCCTCACGAGATGCCACATACCTGCGGCACGTCAGCACGGCCATCCGCGCCGGGAGTTGCCGTTGCGAGCGGCAACTAATGTGCCGTGCGGGCCGCACACAACTCTCCGCATCGTGCAAGGCCGTCCCCCACTCGCGCACAACATCACCAACGCGTCGCAGTCTGCAACAACAAATACGGAAAAAAGAGTCCCCGCGCCACCCACAGCAGGAACATCGGTGCCCCACACACATAAAGCAAAAAAAAACAACAACAAAAGCGCAGCAGCGAGCCGACACGCAGAAATCCCCACACACGGCACGGAGCCTTCCCCATCGAACGCGTGGTCCAACCGTGAAAGCAATAAGTGGTAAGAGGGCACACGCAACGATTGCCACCCCTGCTCCCAGAATCACAAAACAACAAGCACATGGCAGCTCGGACATGGTACAACTGAGCATGGCAGGCGGCGATGGGGTCGGTACCCATTCACTCCCCTGTTTTGTGTGGGAAAACGGCTCCGCCCATGAGAGATCACGGATGTGTGCATACTCAACCACTGACCATGACATGCTTCCACTCTTTATCGACTGCTGGGTGGCCGCGTGCTGGACCGCAGTCAGGCACATCCACCACCACAACGCGCCACGGACAGCAGGGCTTTAGCGGTGCAAAGGACAGCGATCCCCGCCAACACGCAGTCGTGCCGACCAAGCAAAGCGATATGCCACTGCTGTGCACTCACCTCGGAAAGCCGCAGCTGCATGGCAACAGTGATGCGCACAACTGCTAACACCGGGACGGCATGCAGTTTCCTTCGCCTGTGCCTCACTCCAACAACAAAAACAGCACAGAAAGCCGCCATGGTCCCTGTAGCAACAAATTCCTTTCGGGAATAGCCGTGTCCACATCCTTTGTGTGGGTGCCGCGGCCGGGATCAATGCTCTCTGGATCAGGGACAGATGCCCGTAGCAAAGCTTGTTCAGTAGATGCCAGTGAAACCGTCCTGCTCCACACACACTCTCCTCGCCACCCCACGGAACCACTGGAAGCAGGCTGCCGCTGGTGGCGGATATCGTGCACAGCTGCGCGTGGTCACGGAAAATAGCTTTTCCCTCGTCGTAGGGCGGAGCGGCCCACATAATCGTCGCTCCGTCCGTGCATGGGGCACAACGGGCGTTACCCCCTTCAGTCACTCTCAGACGCACCCGCATGCCGAGGCACCGCAATGCCGCATGCATGGCAGCACCGAGATGTATGTTTCTTCCGGGTCCCTCGCATCCGTCGTGTTGGTGGGAAGCGTGTCCAGACACCACGAAGAGGCCTTGTCCCCAGGCATCGCAAACAAGTATTCTCCCCTCCAAATAACAGCGGCAGCATTTCTCACATCCGGTGCGGGAACAATGACGGGGCAGCTGTCCATCGGGCGTTTTGCTGACCCTTCATGGATACTCCGTCTACACACCAACCACTCGAATACCGATCCAACGTGCAGCGTCTGGCAGAAACGCTCGCTTCGCAGAACATCTGGGGATATCCACTCATGTTCGGTGCGGAGCACTTCCTCTGCAGCAGCGCACAGCACGAATTCCTTCACCAGCGCATCGGCTCCGCCATATCCCACCTCACCCTCATGCAGCCCAGGTCAGCCGGTGCGGCCAGCGTCAGCTCCGTGCGGCAGCCGGCACAACAATCGGCGCCATCCACTCATCCTTCGCGTGGCGCTGCGACCAGTGCGACTCCAGCGTCCTCCCGTCCCCATCGCCATCCTGCAGCTCCATGCCATCAATGTCGTCGCAGTCGCGGGGCTCCTCGCAGCCACCACGGCAGTCGTCGAGTGCACCACCACCGACAGCGCTCTGTCACGCACACCGGCAACATTCCTCACCATGCTGCGGCTGGCCACGTGCGGGTGGGTGAACCCAAAAGCATGGGCCACCAGGTGCGCGGCGATGCGCGTGGCGAGGCATCCGCGAAATAAAACGGCCGGCAAAGTGCATGGCACCAGCGACGGGACGACCATCCTCCAGCGTGGCGCTCCGCAGTGCACCAAATACCACCAAGCGCCGCTGCCACGGACAGCACCATGTCAGCATTGGCAACACCAGTGAAACAATGCCCAGCACGCACCGTGAACCGAATGCAAACGCTGCCTGTGGCAAATGGGGGCACAATCAAAGAACCCTCCAGTGGCTGCACGGGCAGACGATCCGCATGCGGGTGTACAGCAGCAGGGACAACTTCATTCTCGAGGATGGTCCCGTGCGCGGAGGATACAACGTCACCTTCACACTCGCAATTGCCATTCAATGAATTCATTGCGTAGTACCGCTCTGAGATGCAATACATCCCGGTACCATCCAGGTCCCTTGTGGATACGTTGATGCGGATGGGCATCCATCCCTCCCAATGACGGTGTACGGCTGCAGCGCACCAACTGCTCAAAAAAGGCACATCCCTCACAGCAACACGGATCCAATTCGTACTGTCGGCACGCATCACATATTCAGCAAATCGAGGGTACGTCAAAGTGACAGCAAAGCACCCGCTGGCAATCACACCACAAACATCATCACATGCAGCAGCACCAACGTTCCAAACTAATGTGGGGTGTAGAGCAAGTAGGCCATTGATGTGGGTGTTAGGCAAATATTTCGTGGCTCGCTGAAGCAACAAGGACCGATTGCGTGGGAAGAAACAAAGAACAGGAGAATACAAAAGAGAAAATTCAGCCGTCCGCACTTTAGGAAGAAAACCAACCAATGAAAGTAAAATGGGTGCACCCAACCACAACAGAAGCAAAGATTCAAAACAAAAAGAAACAAAAAAAGCCGAAGCGTGGGACGACCAGCACACACACTCTCATTGCTCCCGTAAAGCAAAACACACACACACAGAGGGAGAGAGAGAGAGGTCGCCCACTCAATGCAATAAAAACAAAACAGAAACAGTTACGGTGCTCCGCCCATGCAGCCAGGCAGGACGGCAGCGGTGCGTGTCGTGCAAAAGAGAGCACCAACGGGCCTGCATGGGTGTGCATGCATATATACAATGGGCACATTATTGTGTGTGCCTCGTGGGGTGAGGTGAGGGCGAGAGTCCATGCAAGGGGACACACACACACAGAGAGAGAAGGACGAGTGTGTGTGCGGGCGGTGCACGGCTCTCTCTCCCTCACTCTCACGCGGCCACCACCGCAGCAGCAGCCGCACACGCAAAAACAACAAGAAGAAGCAAAAGAGGGGAGGTGTGGGAGACCGCGGTGCTGCCGTCACTGTCGCCAGTCGTCGCCGTCGTAGTTTTCGTGGCTTCGACTGGTGTTTCCTTCGGATTGGCATCTTTATTTTCATTTTGTTTTCCCTCTGCTGTCCCTGCAACATCAGCTGCTGGGTCATCGTCTCCAGTTGTTGGTGTGCTGTTGGGATTTGTTATATTCGATGCTCCCGCCGCACCAGAAGATAAGCTTGGCTGCTCTTGACCGCCTGCTGAGATCTCCTCTGTGGTGCCGGTAACAGCTTCTTCTTCCTTTGTCTCCTCCTTTTCTTTCTTATCATCCTTTCCGTCCTCCCTTCTATCATCCTCTTCCTCTTCCACTTCTTTTTCCTCCTTTTTACCTTCTTCTGTATTTCGACCCTTGTTGTCCTTCGTTGTACTTGACGTTACTGATGCTCCTCCTCCGGATTGTTGTGCCTGTGACGGCCTCGCTGCCGCTTCGTTTGCGCCTTGCACCGATACTCCTGCTGCTTGTGGCACTTCCGGTTTACCGTTTTGGACACCTCCTCCAGTGACACCGACGGTATTTTCTTCTTTTTGAGTGTTCTCTTCGGGCGGAGTAGCCGGAGAATCTTGAGATGTTTCAGCTCGTCCACCACCGCAGACACCGCACCACAGCACGCAGAGGGCACACACCAGCAGCACACGGCCAGTCATCATCGTCATCACGGCCGCACACACAGTCTAGGGAGGGACAAAGAGAGGAGGATGAGAAGAACACACACACATCAGCAGCATGGAAAAGGAGGAGCAGCGTTTGCATGAGGGTTGTTGTCATGAGCATGGGGGACGCGTGCACGCAGGAAGAACAGGCAACAATGAAACACCGGACAGCACGGCACACAACTCCACGGCATGTAAAACCCACCCGCAGCTGCCCCAAAAATGGACGGGAAAGAGGGCGCAACAGTACGGCAGGAACACAGTGATGTCGGTGCAGAAAAGGATCCCAAAACGGCGTGAAAAAGAAACAAAAAACAGTCTTCCCCCACAGCGGCCACATCCAACAACGCAAGTAATAATAACAGAAACAAACACCACACACGGCAACTCACAGCGGCAGTGAGTTCCCTGTCGCCAATCCTCATGGCTGCACGCTACCGCACTCCTCGTGAGCCCATCGCTCCGCTGCCTTCTTCCTTCCCGCGGCTCCCCGCACGAACAGCCACGGCTCACAATCGGGTCCATCCACACCCGTCGCCACGCCGCCCTCAACGACCCAACAGTCAACCGCCCAAAAACCGTTGCTGAAATCACACACCGCAACAAAGCACGCGACGCAACATCGTGTCACGCGGACCCCGCCGTCAGAAGAACGTCATGTCAACCGTTTGGCCGGCACACGGTACAATCAATCAACAGAATAGAGAAGTAAGACAGGCACTCAATCAAGGACGCTCCACGCACACAGCCCTTTTGATGCCGCCGCTGCTGCCACGGGCACGGTACCCGAGCGGAGAATGACACGCAGTAAAAAAGGCCTCACAAGAGAGAAACAATCCACACGTCCATATGCAAAGCGCCACTCATACTGCTGCGGCTGCAGGGTCCGTGGGCAAAAATGCGCCTTACTGAATCCCGCCAGTTACGTCAGTCTCCCCTCCCACCAATGTGGCGCATAATGCACGGCGTGCGTCCACAGGCATCCACTCCCGGTGCCCTAGCAACACTTCAGAACACACATAATGGAGAAGGGAATTATCATTACACAATGCCAAAGCAGGCAAATAAAAATAGGGAAATCAAACCACACAGATCCCTCGCACACGCACACAAACACCCCACAGTATCTTCCAGAAGAAGTCAAACAATTTCTTATCCCAACCCATAATACACGCGTATTGCCGCCACATTAGCAACCAACACAAAAGAGGGAGAGTGCATACAGCATGTCCCTGGTACAAAGTATAAGGACAAGCAGAGTGTGTGTATATACTGACAGGGACATGCCAGTTGATATAGGCCTTTCTCTCTTGCACCCACTGCTCAGTGTTGGCACCGCGGCGGCAGCGGCAAGCAGAAGAATCAGCGGAAAGGGACAAGCAGCAGCCGCAGTGTTATTGCGTGGATCGGAGGCGGGGCGTCCTTCATTTCTGCCTCCCAACCCCGCACCCCATCGCCGCTTCATCCTCCCTCGGCGGAGGGTCCACGGCGCCCTACGCGGCATCAGCGGCATCAGGGCTCTTGGGTCCCGTGGCTGTGGCACCGCCACCGGCCTTGTCGCTGGCGGCCTCATCTCCTAATGATTGTCCCACAACAGACGTCACACCACCGGCGGCCACATCGTCGCTGTCCGGAAGATCGCTCATCTTCTCCGCCTCCTGCGGCGTACCCGCGGTGTCGCTGGGCAAGAGCACTCCGTTGCCGTCGTGGCACCGGAGGCAACTTCCCTCTCCTCCGGCGACGGATGCTTCTGGGGAGCAGCCGTGTCCACATACTTCGGTGGTGTGCCACGGCCGGTCCCAATGCTCTCTGGATCGGGGACGGATGCCCGTAGCAAAGCTTGTTCAGTAGATGCCGGTGAAACCGTCCTGCTCCACACCCTCACATCGCCACCCCACGGAACCACTGGAAGCAGGCTGCCGCTGGTGGCGGATATCGTGCACACCTGCGCGTGGTCACGGAAAATAGCTTTTCCCTCGTCGTAGGGTGGAGCAACCCACGTAATCGTCGCCTCGGTCGTGCATGGGGCACAACGGGCGTTACCCCCTTCAGTCACTCTCAGACGCACCCGCATGCCGAGGCACCGCAATGCCGCATGCAAGGCAGCACCGAGATGTATTTTTCTTCCGGGTCCCTCGCATCCGTCGTGTTGGTGGGAAGCGTGTCCAGACACCACGAAGAGGGCTTGTCACCAGGCACCGCAGACAAGTATTCTTCCCTCCAAATAGCAGCGGCAGCATTTCTCACATCCGGTGCGGGACCAATGATGGGGCAACTGTCCATCGGGCGTTTTGCTGACCCTTCATGGATACTCCGTCTACACACCAACCACTCGAATACCGATCCAACGTGCAGCGTCTGGCATTAATGCCCGCTTCACTGAACATCTGGGGATATCCACTCATGTTCGGTGCGGAGCACTTCCTCTGCAGCAGCGCACAGCACGAATTCCTTCACCAGCGCATCGGCTCCGCCATCTCCCACTCCGCCCTCATGCAGCCCAGGTCAGCCGGTGCGACCAGCGTCAGCTCCGTGCGGTAGACGGCACTCCCAATCGGTGCCATCCACTCATCCTTCGCGTGGCGCTGCGACCAGTGCGAGTCCAGCGTCCTCCCGTCACCATCGCCATCCTGCAGCTCCATGCCATCAATGTCGTCACGGTCGCGGGGCTCCTCGCAGCCATCACGGCAGTCGTCGAGTGCACCACCACCGACAGCGCTCTGCCACGCACAGCACCATGTCAGCATTGGCAACACAGATGAAACAATGCCCAGCACGCACCGTAAACCGACTGCAAACGCTGCCCGTGGCAAATGGAGCACAATCAAAGGACCCTCCAGTGGCTGCACAAGCAGACGATCCGCATGCGGGTTGACAGCAGCAGGGACAACTTCATTCTCGAGAATGATCCCGTGCGCGGAGGATACAACGTCACCTTCACACTCGCAATTGCCATTCAATGAATTCATTGCGTAGTACCGCTCTGATATCCAATGCTTCCCGGTATCATCCAGGTCCCTTGTGGATACGTTGATGCGGATGGGCATCCATCCCTCCCTCCCAATGACGGTGTACGGCTGCAGCGCACCAACTGCTCAAAAAGGCACATCCCTCACAGCAACGCGGATCCAATTCGTACTGTCGGCACGCATCACATATTCAGCAAATCGAGGGTACGTCAAAGTGACAGCAAAGCACTCGCTGGCAATCACACATAAACACCATCACATGCAGCAGCACCAACGTTCCAAACTACTGTGAAGTGTAGAGCAAGTAGGCCATTGATGTGGGTGTTAAGCAAATATTTCGTGGCTCGCTGAAGCAACAAAGACCGATTGCGTGGGAGAAACAAAGAACAGGAGAATACAAAAGGGAATATTCAGCCATCCGCACTTTAGGAAGAAAACCAATCAATGAAAGTAAAATGGGTGCACTCAACCACAACAGAAGCAAAGATTCAAAACAATAAAAAGAAAAGGCCGAAGCGTGGGACGACCAGCGCACACACACTCTCATTGCTCCCGTAAAGCAAAACACACACACAGAGGGAGAGAGAGAGAGGTCGCCCACTCAATGCAATAAAAACAAAACTGAAACAGTTACGGTGCTCCGCCCATGCAGGCAGGCAGGACGGCAGCGGTGCGTTTCGTGCAAAAGAGAGCACCAACGGGCCTGCATGGGTGTACATGCATATATACAATGGGCACATTATGTGTGTGCCTCGTGGGGTGAGGTGAGAGCGAGAGTCCATGCAAGGGGACACACACACAGAGAGAAGGACGAGTGTGTGTGCGGGCGGTGCACGGCTCTCTCTCCCTCACTCTCACGCGGCCACCACCGCAGCAGCAGCCGCACAAGCAACAACAAGAAGAAGCAAAAGAGGGGAGGCGGTGTGGGAGACCGCGGTGCTGCCGTCACTGTCGCCAGTCGTCGCCGTTGTAGTTTTCGTGGCTGTGGCTTCGACTGGTGCTTCCTTCGGATTGGCATCTTTATTTTCATTTTGTTTTCCCTCCGCTTTCCCTGCAACATCAGCTGCTGGATCATCGTCTCCAGTTGTTTGGGTGCTGTTGGGATTTGTTATATTCGATGCTCCCTCCGCAGCAGAAGATGAACTTGGCTGCTCTTGACTGACTGCTGAGATCTCCTCTGTGGTGCTGGCAACAGCTTCCTCTTTCTTTGTCTCCTCCTTTTGTTTCTTATCATCCTTTCCGTCCTCCCTTCTATCATCCTCTTCCTCTTCCTCTTCTTCCTCTTCGTCTTCCTTTTCCTCTACCCCCTTTTCTTCTTTCTTTTTATCTTCTGTATTTTGATCCGTGTTGTCCGTCGTTGTACTTGCCGCTTTTGATGCTCCTCCTCCGGGTTGTGTTTCCTGTAATGATTTCGCTGCCGCTGCCGGTAATTCTGACCGCGTTGGTGATGATGTTTCTTTTGGCGCTTTCTTTTCACCGTTTTGGCCAACTTCTCCAGCGACAACGACGGCCTTTCCGTTTTGAGATTTCTCGTCGGACGGAGAAATTGGGGAAGCAGGAATTGTTTCAGCTCGTCCACCACAGCAGACACCGCACCACAGCACGCAGAGGGCACACACCAGCAGCACACGGCCAGTCATCATCATCGCCATCACTCCTGTCACTTGCGTGTAGCCTTCAGCACAAACTAACAACACGTCAACGCAGAGCGGAAGCAAAAAGAGAGACACGGCCGCTACACCACGCACCGTAAACAACGGCAGCAGCCCTGCAGAGGAACGCACACTGACCCGCACACCAGAAGTAAAAAAGCAATACCAAAACAAAAAAAGTAGTTGAGTGTCCAACAGGAGTCTCCTCCTCCAAAAAAATACACTTCAGCAGAATCATCATTTCGTACGCCATGCAGCAAAGCAGGACTGTGTTTATATGTACATGCGTACAGTACCTGCACAAGGAAAAAAATATTACTGTTCCACAAGCCCACACAACATCCCACACACGTCATGCGGCATCCGGCCTGTCTCTCCACTCCTCCTTTTGTGTCGTCCGTGGAGCGCACAGCCGTGGGGCCTGTACCGCGTGTGGGCAACAGAAGCAATCAAGAGGGAAAACAATTCGCTCATGACGGTGCGCAGCAACTGACCATTAAGTAAAACAAAAGAAAAGGTACTCCCATTGTTCCATTAAACAACATTAAAAAGAACATCAAAAAAAGAAGGCCCGCAGGGAACGCGGCGCATATTTTCCGTCAGAAGTCGCAACTCCACACTCCGTGGCTCAGAACACTGCCACAACCACACACAGTCCCAAAAGCAGAAGCAGCAGTGGTGTCCGCACACGAGGTGATACGTTCGCCGCTGCTCACCGTCGGCAGGGACATGTCACCTTCGAACTAGACGTCTCTACTCTCTTTGATTTTTTTGTTTAAAGAAGATGTGGTCTGTGTGGCGCTGCTGCACGCACCGCTGTTTGTAGGCCCCTTAGCGGCGGGGGCGTGTGCTTGAGGACCATGGATGCAGTCCCATCGCCCGTACACATCGGTGGTATTGGACGTAATGAGGTCATTATATTTTTTTCCTACTCTTACCAGCGCGTCTAGCTATACAATGCCATCTGGGTGCCGAAGAGGTGGTCGAGCAGCAAAATGAGTTTCCTGCTATGAAGCAACTGCCATTGAGAGAACTTTCCGAGGCGAAGGTCCTGTTCAATGCCCAGCCGTTGGCGCACAGCCAAGGTGCCTGGACATTCTAGAAGCAGATGGTGCAAGGTTTCCTGCGGGCCAATTGGCATGCTTGTGGAAGCTGGCTGATCCTGCGGCAGCAGAGATCGCCTCCTGGCACTGCTGTTTCGATGTCGAGTGGCGTCTGGGTTGTGTGTGCAGCGACTTCTGTGCTGTGCGGTGCTTCTCCGTGTGGGGAAAACCATGTCACAGAAATCACATTTGAGCTCGGGAAGCGGTGGGGGATGTTCCGGATGAAAGGACCGACAGTGACTGACGAGACCCGAGAATCCCGTCAATGTAAAATCAGAGTGCGGACATTTCTCCTTCCGACGGCGTGTGAGGGTCCGTCCCCTTACTGGAGAGACGTCTTCCTCCCTCGCCGACGGGGGAACAGTGTCCGTCCCCGGTGCAGTTGGATCGTTGTTAGAGCGCATATATGCAGACTGTCCCGGTGAGATGTTGCGGAATCGGCATTGGTTCGTGCAATCTCTCACAGTCCAGTACAGGCGACCCCAGAGCTCGGATTCCCCGCACCCTTCCCGTGCAGTGTGTATCCGTTCCTGTTGGTCGAGGGCCTCCTGAGTGATTATGTGCTTGCCGCCGGGATCTGATGGCCTGGCGCCGCCAAGCAGGTAGTGGTGGGTGTCCTGACGAATGGTACTACGCCACTTGTTGGTGAGCTGGGTAGTAAAACATGTCAGCAGATCCGTATGCCATAAAGGTGCGATTCCTTGCTCCGTGTATTGTCCAGTTGCCATAGTCTGCGTCGCATGCTGATCTGCAAGCTCGTTGGCATGTACTCCGCAATGTCCGTAACAAAACTGCAGGTGCACGGACCAGCCAGCACACGTCAGTGTCAAGAGACGCTGCCAGATCTGATCCTCCGTCCAGTCGGTCTGACTGAGCGGGCCCTTGTTTAGAGCCGCTAGAAGAGACTGACTGTCCGTAACCACAAGCAGGGTTTTACGCCTGTGGCGGATACGAGGAATCATCAGCTTCTCCAGGGCTAGAAGCAGTGCACGGGATTCCGTCCTGTAGCTGCATGGGCGTGCACCGCAGTTTATACTGGCCTTTTCTATTATCTCCGATGAGTTGAGGGATGAGAGCAGTATTCCAACCCCTGCTGACTTGGGAACGTCGACACCGCCATCCGTCGCGAGTGTCCACGAACGATGGCTGTGCAGCGCTGGAGCCTCTTCGCTGACTCTGCGCCTTTCCCGTATCGGCTCTTCCTCGTCAGTTATTGAGAGGTCTATCGGAAGTTCCACACCGATGGTGGCCCGGTGAGCGGAGGCCGCAAACCAGGGAGGAATGGAGCTGCGAAAGAACCGCTCTTCGCGTGGTGAGCTCTCGGTGATGCCATAGTCCTTTGTGTATGCGTCTACAAAGGCATATAGCTCGTCCCGAGGTAATGGCGACATGCGGAAACCAGCGCGAGGTGGTGGCTCAGGCGGGGGTCTCCGCATCCAGTCCGTCTGACATGCGCGTGTGTTCTCAAATATGGAGAGCCGCGCGCGCAGGCAAAGGACGTGGAGCGGCGGCATATTAGCCTCCAGCAGTGCGGATTCCGGGTCGACAGTGCTCGGAACTCCGCTGACAATGCGTGCTAGAGTTGCGTACGTCTTCTGCATCTCATTCTTCGCTGAATCCGTCGCTACTGCCGATATGAGCTCGCTGCCATAGCGTAATTTGGAAGCACCATATCCAATGGCGAACGTGCGTAGGTCATGTGGAGATGGTCCCGCCTCTTTATGCGCTATGCAGCGTAGCTGCGATATCCGTTGCGAAGTGGCAGCGCATTGCTTGGAGGCAGCCACATTTAGCGTCAGTCGCGGATCGAGATCCATGCCGAGAAGCTTCGTAGTTCGCGATGCCCCCATGGTCATGACTGGGATTTGACATCCAGCCACTACCAGGGGCCACCTTCCTCCACGATCATAATCGGACTCCGTGTGCGTGGATAGTGTGAACCAAGCAGCTTCACACTTTGACGGGTTGGTGGCCAGGCCATTTTCCTGACTCCACGCATGCAGTCTTTGAAGAACCATGTTGGCAGTGGGAATGGCGTCTTCCCGGGACTGCCCCTTGACGATAATAGAGAGGTCGTCCGCATACATGTCCGCTGTGACACCCGCAAAGCTGTTCAGCAGACTGAGAAGTGGGTGTACGTAAAGGGAGAACAAATACGGTCCCAGCACGGACCCCTGAGGAACTCCTCGCAGCATGGGACGCCGATCGCCGTGTCTGTGGCCAACTCGTGTCTTCGCGTAGCGACCACATAGAAAGTTTCTAAGCCACCTTCTACAATCCACCCCCGGAATATTAGCCAGCAAGCGACTGAGGACTCGATGATCTATGGAGTCAAAGGCCTTGCTGAAATCAACCAACACCAGCAGAGTCCGATGGGGTCTGTAGTGGAGTTGATTGCCAATACCGCTCTTCTTGGGAAGGCTCACTTGGAAATAATGATTTCTATTATGCTCCACTTCGTGTATCAGGTGTGCCAGCTGCATCGTCGTGGTACGCATACTACGATATGCATACTGGTGGGGGTGCGGCGTCCACACCCAAAGCAATCTCTTCAGTACCATTTTCTCAGCAACCTTACTCACAATGGAAGTGAGGCTGATGGGTCGATATGACTCAAGCAGTTCCGGCGATTTACCGGGTTTTAAGAGTGGAACGATGGTAGCGCGTCTCCACTCAGCCGGGATCGCACCGGTCGTCCAGCTGTGGTTAATGCAACGAAGAAGGAATCGAAGGCCCTTTGACGAAATATGTCGCAGTGCCTCACTGTAGACTTCATCCGGTCCGGGGCCTTGCCATACGGCGTGTTGCGTAGCGCAGCAAGCAGTTCCGTACGATTAAAAGGTGCATCAATAGGGCAGTGACAAAACCCCTGATGTAAATGTAGAGATCAACTCGTTGCTGTTCTGTGGTCCAAAAATAGAAGAAGAAGCATTAATGTTCAAGGATGTGTTCTGTCTGTTGATGCCTTTGGAAGGCCTAACTGCCTTGTGAGAGGGGTGAAATGGAAGAAAGATGCGATTGAGAGCATTCGCTGCTCTCCTTGCTGTTTTATAAGTGTGTTGGCCACCTCCCAATAAAATTGATGTGGGAGATGGAAGTGATGCCTTTTTTCGTCCGGAAATGTATTTCCATGCGAGTGGCTCGCCTGGATTTAACTTGCTGATGCGGCGTAGATACGTGTTGCGCAAGCGCTCTCGGAGTAGGAGGAAGAATTGACTCCTTGTCCGTTGCATTTCGGCCTCACGGTCGGGCGTCGGTGACTGTAGATAGCGGGCCTTGCTGTCGGTAGCCATCCGCTCTGCCTCCATGAGAGTGTCGTCCCAAAGCCTGGGACCGTCCTTGTGCATTCCGCGGGGGCAATGTCGTCGATACGAAGTTATAGGCGCTCTCGTGAAAGCCTTAATGCCGGTGGACTGCTTTTTATAGTCGTATGCCGGAAGTTGTGCGTCGAGGTCCTTGATGAATAAATCCCACTTGCACTTCCCCCAACTGTGGAATATCCTAGGTGCCGAAGGTGTGGTATCCTTAAATGCCTGATGCAGCGTAAATGTCAGCATATAATGATCACTAAGCGGCGACACGGAAGCTGACCAATCCGACACAGTCAAATGCTTTGACCATGTCAGATCGATACAGGATCGTTCTCTTGTGCCACGGGCATACGTGATCTCACCAGGGGTGTTTGTTAACCAAGGTGAGTCCCGCATCCGTGCACAGTTCTAAAAATTCTGCAGCAACCTCGCTTGGAGAAGTCTCCAAGAATGGCTCCCACTGTGGGTGATGCATGTTGAAATCCCCGCACAGCAGGAGCGGCGACGAGGCTGGAAGGCAGTTTACTAACCGCCTGAAGGATTGCGTTACGTGCGGTGGTGGTCTCATATAGGCACTCGCTACAAT